GATGATGATGATGATTTTGATGATGAGGAAGCAGAAGAAAAAGCTCCAGTAAAGAAATCCATACGAGATACTCCAGCCAAAAATGCACAAAAATCAAATCAGAATGGAAAAGACTCAAAACCATCAACACCAAGATCAAAAGGTCAAGAATCCTTCAAAAAACAGGAAAAAACTCCTAAAACACCGAAAGGACCTAGTTCTGTAGAAGACATTAAAGCAAAAATGCAAGCAAGTATAGAAAAGGGTGGTTCTCTTCCCAAAGTGGAAGCCAAGTTCATTAATTATGTGAAGAATTGCTTCCGGATGACTGACGTGGAGGCTATTCAAGATCTCTGGCAGTGGAGGAAGTCTCTTTAAGAAAATAGTTTAAACAGTTTGTTAAAATTTTCCGTCTTATTTCATTTCTGTAACAGTTGATATCTGGCTGTCCTTTTTATAATGCAGAGTGAGAACTTTCCCTACCGTGTCTGATAAATGTTGTCCAGGTCCCATTGCCAAGAATGTGTTGTCCAAAATGCCTGTTTAGTTTTTAAAGATGGAACTCCACCCTTTGCTTGGTTTTAAGTATGTATGGAATGTTATGATAGGACATAGTAGTAGTAGTGGTCAGACAAATGGGAATGGTGGGGAGACAAAAATATACATGTGAAATAAAACTCAGTATTTTAATAAAAAAAAAATAAAAAAAAAAAGCTTGGCAACAGAGTTTTATATTTTTATATGCTTAGTATCACCTTTATTAGCATAAATGCAGTTTTTATTTAACTATGGAAGTTAAATTTAATTAATAATTAATGCACCAGGCAACTCTTTTAAAGCATATGTTTAATATTTTAAAAAATGCAGATTAGCCCCTGGCCAGTGTGGCTCAATTGGTTGGAGTCTCCTCTTGTACACAAAAGGTGGCAGGTTTGATTTCTGGTCAGGGCACATACCCAGGTTGCAGGTTTGATCCCCCTGTCAGGGTGTGAACCCACAGATTGATGTTTCTCTCTCTCTCTCTTTCTCTCCCTTTCTCTAAAATCAATAAAAATAATAATAAAATAAAAAATACAGATTAAAATAATCACTATCAACTATTTTAGTTTACAAATGAAATTAACAAAGGAGGGAAAGAAGACAGAAAATTGTCAGGCATAATAAAGCTTAAACTTAACATTTGATTGAATGATACTATTCTTAGCTTTTAAAATATGGTAAATATAAAAATTCTTTAAAATATTTCATTTTAAACAAAGTAACTTACATGTTGACTTATAGTATAATTTCCATTAATAATTGATTGGGCACATGATATTTGTATCCTCAAGACAGAGATAAGACATTTTATAAAACAGGCTGATCTTATTTATGGAGACTTTCTGAAGTCCTATAATAATACACAAAGCAACTCTTTTCATACATTATAAAAGTTTATTTGTATACTGGTTTTGGGAACTAGCCATGCTTTGTGAAAAGGACAGCTATTGAAATACTCCAAACCATCATACAGAAACCAGAGATTTATATTCACATGTAACCAGTGGCCTGAGCAAATGGAGTAAAATCTAGTCCAAGAAATGGGACTGGAAAGAATTATCTCACTTAAATAATCTACTTCCCAAGTTTACTCTCTGGATTTAGTGTAGTATTGATTTTGGACAATATTTGCTTAATTATTCCCTGAAATAATTTTGAAAAACTATGTGCCTCCTCACACATTTTAAAAATGACACATAAAAAAAAATCAATTAAGATTTTTACAGTTAGCCTGGCGGGGGTGGCTCAGCGGTTGAGCATAGACCTATGAACCAGGAGGTCAGGGTTCAATTTCTAGTCAGGGCGCATGCCTGGGTTGTGGGCTCAATCCCCAGTAGGCAGTCAATCAATGATTCTCTCTCATTATTGATGTTTCTCTCTCTCTCTCTCCCTCTCCCTTCCTCTCTGAAATCAATAAAATAAATTTTTTAAAAAAGACTGTTAAACTTAAATGTTGCACTTCCAGTGCTCTTGATGTCACCAGGGACAATACTGAAAGGGAAATGCCAGTTCAAAACTGAGCTGAAATGTTACTCAGAAGAGTTGGGCTGTAAATGTGAAGCTAATTCAAGACTTCTGTAACCAATTTTTTTTGCGTATATTTTTATACGTAAGAGTGAACTATGATAAAAAATATATGTCTGAAAGAAGTTTAAAATATTTCAAAAAGTAAAAACAAATGTTCTAGGAGATTAGGATATGTTGTATTGTTTAAATGGCAGCATGCATTTTACTATCTTGGTTCTTTATAGTAGCGTTTTTATTTATACTCTATGTCTCCCGATACCCTTTGGCATTTTTGATGTTATGAAATAGGCAGTATCTGAGAAGAGGATGGTTTTGAGTTGATGAGACTGAAGATTAAACAAATTCAGATAAGGAACTCTTGAAATGTTCTTAGTGAGTGATGATTATTATGTGCCTAAATGAGGAACATTGGGGGTTCGGATGAACAGGACAAGGCAAATCTGAGAGAGCTATATTGGAAGCAAAACAGAAAAAAACTTAAGTGATAGATTTATGTGCCATGGGTGAGAGAGAAAAAAAAAGTCTATCTTTCTGGACTATTAATAATTATTGGTATATTTTTGATATTATATTATTTTTAAAATATTAAATACACGTAAGGACACAGTGCAAGAATTCCATGGTTGAAAAAAAAAATTGAGGTACAAAGTAATGCCAAATTTTCTGTTCGGGTCTGAGTTCATTGTCTCTCAAAATCAAAAAATGAGTTCACAGGCAAAACCAGTTTAGTAGAAGCAAAGTTTATTGAGAGAAGGCAGTCCTGGAAAAGGTGCAGCTGGGGTTCCAAAAGCAGGCCAGTGTCCAGAGCTTCGGCTCCATGTTGCAGCCAGCTGTAGTTCAGCATCCAGCTGTAGTTCAGCATCCAAGCTAATTAAAGTCCATTACACCTTGCCAAAACCGGTTTGGCTCAGTGGATAGAGCATCGGCCTGTGGACTGAAGGGTCCCAGGTTCGATTCCGGTCAGGGGCATGTACCTGGGTTGCGGGCACATCCCCAGTGGGAGATGTGCAGGAGGCAGCTGATCTCTCTCATCATCGATGTTTCTGGCTCTCTATCTCTCTCCCTTC